GATATATGGTTAGTAGGTGGATGGATGGATGGAAGGATAGAAGAATGTGTGGATGATGGATGCATGGTTAGTGGATGGATGGATGGTTAGTGAATGGATGGATGGATGGTTAGTGGATGGATGGATGGATGGATGGATGATGGATGGAAGGGTAGAAGGATGGATGGATGATAGATGGATGGATGAATGGATGACGGATCGATGGCTCAATCGATGTTCTTAGCTCCTAGTCACACCAAATCTTGTCTGCCAGACTTTCTCCTGATAATCTGAATTATTCTTGGATAGTCAGTGAAAACTGACACATTTCCAATCTGGTGCATATATAACCAGCGTTTTACCCTGAATCAGATCGGCTCTGCTGCTCTTTCAAAGTTCAGCTTTTGATCTTCAAGCCTGGGCAGCACTAGACATTTTGGCCAGGATGCTTTCACCAGGGCAAAGCCCCCCAGCACTTCCCTCCTCTGAGTCCCGACCTACCCAACTCCTACTCCCTCTCTTCAGGCTTGCCTTCCCCAAGTTCCTTGGGGTCCCTCTTCTCAGTAATTCTTTAGCACCCTCAGCCACTCATCAACGACCCGAAGGCCCACTCTATGGAATACAGCAGTGAAATCAAGCAGTCATAGGCCTGCCTCGGAGAGCAGTGTTTAGTTTTAATAGCCCTTGATTTACATGTATTTATTTGTGCATATCTGAGTCTCCCCAAAGTCTTTGAGCAGTCTCATTTTTTATTGTATCTCAGCACCTGGCTGAGAGCCCAGCACAGAGAGACCGCCTTTCAGATGCCTAATTACCCCACTGAATGCAAGCAAAACAAAAATGAGCTTGCCATGAAAAGCTGAGTATTTAGATAATGAAGCTTTCTTATCATTACCTTTGGTCTATAAGGGCACAGGTGGGCACACACAGAGACACACGCACAGAGTATGCATGTGTATAAATGTCCACACCTTTACATGTAGATCTCCAACATCCATCCATCCATCCACTCATCTTGTGTGCATGCAAGACCACACGTCCATCTCATATCCCTTCCACCTTCTTCCATACGAAGGGACTTTGATTTTATGGATGTTGGCAATGTGGCAGCTAAAAGACCATTTCCTCAGTCTCCCTTGCAGCTGGGTATAACCAAAAAGTAAGTTCTGGTCAATAAAATAAATGTAAGCAGAAATTGTCAGAGAAAACTTCTGAAACATTCCTTAAAAGGTGGATGGATGGATGGCAAGGGGCCCTTTAGGCTCTCTCCTTGCTTCGTCTTGTGCTTGCCTGGAATATCAAGGAGATGCCTGGAGCTCCAGCAGCCAGCCTGGAGAAGGAGGTAACCCAGAGGATGGGAGCTACTCTTGAAGGATGACTGAACATGGTGAGAAAAACAGCTGTGGTTGCTGGTGGCACTGCAGAATGGCCATAACGGTCCTGATCTGACTCTCTTGACATCGTTTATGGGAGGGAGAAGTAAATTTTTATCTTCTCTTCTTTTCCTAAAAGTCAGATTTGCTTCAGTCGTATTTAAACCACTTTTCTTTCTGGTCTTTGTTACCAGAGGTTGGGCCCAGTTTATAATAGAGACCTGCTATGAGTTCCTTATGGGCAGTCAAAACAGCTAAGTGGTGTCTGGCCATCATACATGGTGCCTGTTGAATAGATATTGAAGAGAAATCTCCTGAGTCAGTAGAATGGTAGGTGGAAAGATGGGTAGATGGATGTGTCAGTGGATATGTGGGTGGATAGATGGGTGGATAGATGGATGGACAGATGGATGGATGGATGGATGGTAGAATGGATAGATAGATGATAGATACA